GGCAGGCACTATATGACTGTTGAGGATACAGAGATGATTTAGTCAGATGATTGAAGCTGGATGCCTGAGTAACCACTAAACAGTAAGCTCCCTAAGGACAGTAACTGAGCTGCTTCCAGTAAGGGAGAAACTTAATTCTAGCACTCTCTTTATCTTGGTCCTCATCTCAGTCTTCTATACCCCCACCCCCATCCCCGCTTTAATGGTCTCACTTCACTTACTCATTTACCAGATATTTTTAGTGCTTCCCATGTGCCTAGAATACCCAGTACTTGAGCTGTATATCTATCTGTATTTTGAATCCCTAATTTTTTTTTTTTTAGAGTCTTACTCTGTCACCCAGGCAGGAGTGCAGTGGCACAATCATAATTCACTGCAGCCTCAAACTCCTGGGCTCAAGCAATTTCACACCCCAGCCTCCCAAGTAGCTGGGACTATAAGACTAAGCCACCAAAACCAGCTAATTTATTTATTTTTTGAGTCAGAGTCTCACTCTGTCACCCAGGCTGGAGTGTAGTGGCACTCTCATGGCCACCACAGTCTCGACCTGCTGTGTTCAGGTGATTCTTTCACCTCAGCCTTCCAAATAGCTGTAACCATCACTGCACGCCATCACACCCAGCTAATTTTTTTATTTATTGTAGAGACAAGGTCTTGCTAAGTTGCCTAGGCTGGCCTCGAACCCCTGAGCTCAAGCAATCCTTTCAGCTCTACCTCCCAAAGTGCTGGAATAACAGGCACCTGGCTTAATTTTTAAATTTTTTGTAGAGATGGAGTCTTGCTATGTTGCCCAGGCTGGTCTCAAACTCCTGGCCTCAAGCAGTCCTCCTGCCTCAGCCTCCCAAAGTGCTGGGATTACAGGCATTGAATTCCTTCCAAGCTAAAGATCACCCACTTTTCAAATTCTGTGTGCTTTCTGACACATGTGCTAAACCATGTGCTCTTATTGATCCATCATAAAGTGGCTGTTTCCCAGTATCAGTACTTCCATATGGTCTCTCTAAACTCAGCTGTGGGGCTAGATGCATTAACCTTATCCTCATGTCATGATTGGATGTTAGAGTATCAAAGCCAAATGATGAATCCCCTAATTCAGCTCCAGGGAATGGCTAGCTCAAATCCTTGGTACGGTGGTAAAACACTTCAGACTAGTCATAACTTTGACCCAAAGATTAAAGCTTTAGAAATTTCTGCCACACAAACACTGCAGGTGTAACACAGTTTAAGGTAGACAATTGAAATAGGGTCCAGGAATCCTGGGACATTGTTTGTCATTTTTGATATTTTATTTTTGAGTCCCTTTATTGTGTGTGTCTATGTGCTATTTCAGGGGTAGGAGATTGGGCTATTTTGAGAACCTGATGGAAATTATAGCACCTTTTTCCAAAATAATGTACATTTACACACACAGTATTTAGAAATAGTTTTAGGATGTCCAAATTAATAATCCACCTGTGACTTGCCATGAGGGTGGAAACTTTTTGTATACCGTAAGTCAGTCCTTTATCATGTAGTTTTCATTTACCTTTTCATGTGTGTGTTTTATCCTAATGAGCAGGCAATGAGCAGGCAAGCTTCCTGTAAGGAATATATACCTCTTCATTACCTCCCAGTGATGTGCGCATGTAGGGAACTTGTCTTGCAGGAAATGTTTGCCAGTTGAGTCCTTTGAAGCTGCTGTGTGGTTTACTGAGGACAGGCGGCCTTCCTTTCAACACTCCATCCTCCACCCTACCACCCTCCAACACGAAAGAGATTGCCACAAGAGGACTTGGACCCTATATTCATGTTCTATTTACTTTCTAGATTTTAGGGTGAGGCATTATCTAAATATTTCTCATGCAAATATCCACTGTTGGATATTTAGAGAACAAGGCAGTGCCTAGTGGAAAGTTTTATACCAAAAAGACATAAGTGTTAATAAATGCATATACTCTATTAAAATTTATGAGTCTTTATTCCATCCTCAGCTTTATACCTCGCTCCATACATACCTACACTTATAATCAAGACCCCTTTTTTTTTCCTATCCCATGAGTTAACTTCTCGGACTGTACTCCTTTCCTGGCATGGAAAAAATTAAAAACAGGAATAAACCTAATGCTAATAGGATGATGACTATGTGGCTTTTTTTCCTGATTCTTCCCTTCCCCTTATAAATCTCAAAGGACCAACTTCAATCCTAATTTTGGAACTTGGACGGTTTTTCCCTCCTCCAGGCTCCTCTATTTGACACCACAGGTGATTACAGCCACCTGGTGGTCATATGGGGAAACGACAGGTAAATTGTCCCAGAAAATCTGTTGAGAGGAAGAACCTCTCTATGGAGTAAGTTTTGGTTTGGGATCTATGGGCAGCAAGGAAAGAGAAACCTATGGACAGAGACTATAGCACAGGAACCAGACTTCCTATTTCCTGGTCCTGTCTTGCCTCTACGACACAACATCCCATCCACTAGTTATTATAGACAGATGAGTTCATTTGAGTTCATTCAACACAAAATTATTGAGCAACAACTGTGCCCAGCTGTGAGAATGCAGCAGTGAACTAGACAAGATCTCTGCTCTTATGATCTTACACTCTAGCAGCCAGCCAGCCAGTTAGATCCATAATTTTACAAGTGTAATAAAAACTCTGAAAAATGCATGGTGCTAAAAGATTTAACAGAAAGCCTTGACCTATACAGAGAAATCAGAAAAGGTCTCCCTGAGGAAGAAACATTTAGGACCAGTTAGGTGAAAGATGGAAGGAGAAACACTGCAAGCAGAGAAAACAGTATGTGAAGGCTCTGAGGCAAGAAGACATGTAATGAACCAAAAGCCAGTCAGTGTGTCTGGAACATAGGGGATGAAGAGCAGTGTTGTAAGATGAGCTATGCAAGGTTGGCAGGGTCTGATTTACACAAGGTCTTTGAATTTAGGACTTTATTCCAAAAGCAATTGGAAGTCACTGAAGAATTTAAGGCAGGAAATTAGATTTTCAGGTTTGTTTTTCAGAGCTCACTCTGACTGCAGCGTGTGGAAGGCAGAAGTGGAAATGGGAGAACATCTTCGGAAGTTTCCACAGCAGTCTAGACAAGAGGTGATGGTAACTTGGAGAAAAGATCAGTTCCAGAGATATACAAGAGAGAGACTCTACTTAAGTAGATAGTGACTGGATGTATGGGGAAAGGGGTGTGTTTTTGGCAAGAGGTACTGAAGTAGGAGACTCTGGAAGAACAATTTTGGGCAGAATGAGCACATCCCACAGGCACAGGCCCTGAGGCTGGCACTAGAGGAACAGCATAGCTTTGGTTCTCAAATCGTTTAGGCTTTAACTGAGCAAACAAGGTAAACATAAATATTGATTAAAGATGAAAATGATTGATTCAGATCACTCACGGACTCATACATTCTATGGGACTAGGTGTAGGCCTTCAATCTCACAGTGAGTTCAGATACTACTGAAGCCAACAGGGATATCGCCACTTTTGTTCAGGCCTCTCATAGTCTCTCAGAAAACTCCTGTGTAGCCCACCTAGGGTCTCACAGGGGCCTGTTCCCCTGAGCCGGGCTCCTGGTTAAAGGAGTCCAAATCTAGCTATTGCCCCCCAGGTGGTTCTCGTTTGGTCACCAGGAAGTGTTCTGACTTAGTTTCCTCTCTTCTTTACCCCCTGTTCAGGGCCCCTCTTCTGTAGTAACTGTCTTGCAAAGTCAACCCTGTCTTCCTCATCTTCCCCAAGTGGTAAAGCCTATTGTGAAAAAAACTGCCTCCTTTTTGCTTATTCTCCAATATGTCCCAATTAGCAAGCCTTTTCCCTACTCTACTTTTTCCTGGAAGCAGTAAATACCCTACCATTTTGCCTCAAAAAAGTCAGAAGAGAAATTTTGCTATGTGATTAGCAAGGAAGTAGCCTTGTTAATAGCTGATGCTTAGCTGACATTGGCCTTCCCAGCCTTTTGCCACTGAACTCTCTGCTTTAAAGAGCCTCTGAGGAGAACTCTGCTAACTCCCTTCCAAAGACAATAACTGCTGACTACACAATAGGCCAACAGTTTCCCATTATGCAAGGAACCTAGGAAAAACCCACATCCCAAATACTTGGTCTGAGAGCAGTGGTTACAATTTATTTTTTATTTTATTTTTTAGAGACAGGGCCTCGCTGCATTGCCCAGGCTGGAGTGCAGTGGCACAGTCAGAGCTCACTCCAACCCCTCTGGGGCTCAAGTGATCCTCCCGCCTCAGCCTCCCCAATAACTAGGACTTCAGGCAACACCACCACACCTGGCTAATTTTTTAAATTTTTTGAAGAGATGAGGTCTCACTTCAGCCTCCTAAAGTGTTGGGATTACAGGCTTGAGTCACCACACCTGGCCAATGGTTACAAATGTTAATTTGAGATCAGAGATTGAGATAGTCCCTTAATATTGAAAAGAACATGGACTTTGGAATTGGGCAGACTTGGATTTGCATCCTGGTTCTGGTGATTACTAACTAATGTGCCTCTGAGCTATCAAACTTTTCTAAGTTTCAAAAGACGTATCTGTAAAATAGATCTGTATCCACCTTATGGAGTAGTTCTCTTAAAGAGGCTACTTGGGAGGCTGAGGCAGGAGGATCACTTGAGGCCAGGAGTTCAAGACCAGCCTGAACAATACAGCAAGACCCTATTTCTAAAAAAATTTTTAAAAATTAGCCAGGTGTGGTGATGCACATGTAGTCCTAACTACTCCAGAGACTGAGGCTGGAGGATTGCTTGAGCCCAGCAGTTCAAGGCTGCAGAGACCACACCACTGTACTGCAGCCTGGGCAACAGAACAAGGCCCCTTCTCTTAAAAAACAAAAGCACCTGGCATTATATCTAGCTTGAATTACCTGTAACCATTCACTTCCTTTCCTTCCCTTGGGTTTCAGCTGCTGAACACTCTTCTATAAGTAAGATAAGCCAGTTTTATATAGTCAATGAGAACCATTTCCTGTTCATAAATTCCATCTTCCTGTAGCCACCCCATTTCCATCACTGCCAAAAAAGTTCTTCCATCCCTCATCTCTGTAGGACTTCTCTTTCTCTCACTAATAGTTCTGTCTGAATTCTGACTATCCTCTTCTACATCTCCCTAATCTAAGATACTTGATCTTCTTGTATCATTCCTAAAGATTAGTTAATTCACTTCTAGCATTCTCCCTAATTTTCTCAGAGTAAGTTGTAATGAGGGTGGGGGAATAAGACCTTTATAATTCAGAAGGGCATTGGAACCACAGGCCAGTTCCCAGAGGGGAATAGAGGTCTAGGTCCAGGCACTCCCCAGCCCCACCTCTTTTCCTCAAAGCACAGAAAAAGCCAAACTCAAAATATGCTTGAGTCTACATAAGCATACATCTCCTTTCCTAAAACTCTGTGAGGTCATCATTGAAGTAGAGTAGTATTGCAGGTGTGTGGAGTGTACCATCCATATTGAGATAGTCAAATTCTTCCTCCTCATCCCGGATCCCATTTTCTTCCAGGGTATAATCCATGTTCAGGTTCTTCCCTTCAAATTTCCACGTGTAGCTGGCAGCATGTGCGTTATAGGGGAGATAGCGGTGTAGTATTTCCCACATTGACTCCAGAACCCCCACCTGGAGAACATAGAAGTACCCCACCCCCAGAATTCTGGATGGAGTGTACACACACACACACACACACACACACACACACACACACTCTCTCTCTACAAAGGCCAGTAGCCCAAGATATGATAAAGCTGGGATCAGAGTGCCTTCTTTGGCATATGGCAGCTTCAGGCACTCCATAGTCCTAGAAATAAAGTTGAAGCTCCAGCATGCAATGAATGGGCCCCCAAATCCTCTCTGTCTTAATGACAGCCACTTCCAACTAACAGATGTCCCTAAAGAATCAACTGTCCCCTCACTATATACCTGCAATAGAGTAGATTAATGAGTCTAACTGCTGGCTGGGCATGGAGGCTCATGCCTGTAATCCCAGCACTTTGGATTGCCTGAGCCCAGGGATTTGAGACAGCCTGGGCAACTTGGCGAGCCCTCATCTCTACAATTAAAAAAAAAATCAGCCAGTCATGGTGGCTTGCACCTGTGGTTCCAGCTACTTGGAAGGCCAATGTGGAAGGATCGCCTGAGCCCAGCAGGTCGAGGCTGCGGTGGCTGTGAGTGTGCTACTGCACTCCAGCCTGGGCGACAGAGTAAGACACCGACACCCCCCCAAAAAAAAGTCCAACTGTTGTCCAAAACAGCAATGTAAGAGCTTCCAAGTACCACCATTACTAAGATGTGCTGCCCTGGACTCATAAAGGAGTCTCTTGTACCTCTGTGACCCAGACACAACCCTGGGTACTTAGAATTCCCAACCCTGGGTACCTAGGTGCTCTGCTGTCCTCACTCGCCTCAACGCAAAGGACAGAAAATACAGTTATCACCGGTTATGGGAAAACATAACCTGAAGATCTGTCTGGAGATTTGCTGGGATTCCCATTTCCCTCTAACCTGCTCCCAGTCGCCAATTCTCACCTCCAATGTGTGCTCCTGCGACGTGAGCGTGTTAATGATGCGGATGTTCCGGGTCTTGGCAGACAGCCGCCCCACCTCATAATACGACTCCTGCCACCAGGGCTTCCCGAAATCGCTGGCCCAGTCCGAACGCGGCAGCTGAGGCGGAACGTGCAGAAAGCGGCCCCGCGGGGTGCGGTACCTCAGGCAGCCAGTCAGCGGATCTATGTGCTTGCGGATCTTTAAAGCAGGGTTTGGGGCGAGGGGGTCGGAGCAGTCACTATTTCAGGCTCTGGCTAGCCCGCGCTTTCCCCTCATCCCCGCTCTCCTCTGCCTCTACCCACAACCCTAGGTTTTGGCAGAACTCACGTCTTTGGTCCTCGGATCAAACCAGTGGCTGATGTCCTGGCCCGCGACTTCCACGATAGGTTTCAGCAGCAGGTTCCCTGGGCAGGAGCAGCCACCGTCAGTGCCGGCTACTCAAGAACCAGGCACTCACGCACACACCCTCCGCCCCTGGCGACCGCGTGGCCCTTACCCTTGTATTCCTGTGCCAGTGGCGTCAGGTCGTACACGAATCCCAGGTAAGACACCCAGAGGTCTTCGGGCTGGTTATGTTGGGCCACCTCCGCTGGCGTGAAATAGCGACGCTGGAAATGCTCAAAATCTGGCCCAGCCACTAAGCCCCGGCGCGGCATAGCTCTTGCTCTGTCGGTCACCGGCTCCGTAAGTAGCTTCCTGGCTCCTCAGCACACACTCCTCACTCCTACGTCTTCCCTCTCGTCCAGGAGCGAGGGGAGCGCGTTTATCCGCTGACATGGAAACCATTGTCCTTTTTCGGCCACCGTCCGCTGAGATTAAACGCTGTCATTGCGAAGCGCAGCATGGGCTGCGCGTGCTCATGGGAAACGTAGTCCAATTCAGGCACTGGGCATGTAAGAATCAAGTAATTGAGTTGCGTCCCGGGAGGTAGAGAAACAAACACGCGCCGTTTTAATTCAGGAGCCTGGGCTACATGGGATATTTAGGACAGACTATCGAGACAGAAAAACAAGGCGGGGGCTGCAGTATGAAAAAAGGTACTCTCCTTAAATTCCAGCGTCTCCAGATGTGTAAGAAACTATAGGTAAAATTCTCGCGATATCTTAAGACATCCGGCGTAATAAGCCTCGAGCCACAGCGTTGGCGAAGTAAAAGAAGCTCGCGAGATTTCTGTAGAGGACTAGGAGGGGGAGGAAAGGTGATCTCGCGAAGGGAAAGAGGTCGGGAGCGCTCGCGAGATCTCAGACCACCAGACCTGAAAGGTGCTTGAGAAGTTGAAAGGCCCAGAGGAGGCCCCAGGGCAAATGGCCGGAGCTGGACCGACCATGCTGCTACGAGAGGAGAACGGCTGTTGCAGTCGGCGTCAAAGCAGCTCCAGCGCCGGGGTTAGCGCGGGCTCGGGTTCTGGGACCGACGGGCAGTCGGGCAGCAAGATGGAGGGGCTGAGGAACTGCAGCTCCCGGCAGCCTCCGAGCTTTGTGTGAACGCCCCGCGGGCTGCCGGGAGCTGTGGTTCCCCGGGCGGTTGGGCGGGCAGCCGGGGCTGCGCGGTCTGATCGCGCGTTCCGCCCCGCGCAGGACTCGGACGGGGAGCGCGAGGACTCACCGGCTGCGCGCGCCCGGCAGCAGCTAGAGGCGCTGCTCAACAAGACTATGCGCATCCGCATGACAGATGGACGAACACTGGTCGGCTGCTTCCTCTGCACTGACCGCGACTGCAATGTCATCCTGGGCTCGGCGCAGGAGTTCCTCAAGCCGTCGGGTCAGTGCCCGGGGAATGCACGCCTACCTGAGAACGCAGCGGAACCTCACGCAAGACATTTCCCCTTCAGGGCCTGACTGCACCCCTTGTTTTCTGGAGCTCCGAGGGGCAGGACTGAGTCTGACCTGCCCACCTGATGCTTTGACCTTTCTTTCCAGATTCCTTCTCCGCTGGGGAGCCCCGTGTGCTGGGCCTGGCCATGGTACCCGGACACCACATCGTTTCTATTGAGGTGCAGAGGGAGAGCCTGACTGGGCCTCCATATCTCTGACCACGATCGCGCATGCATTCCACACTTCATTAAACTTATGACCAAAGTGGCTTGTGTCTATGTGTAGCTGCGTTGCAAAGGCAGGGGTAGTGCAGACACTCCATCCCTACAGGAGAGGGTTTATCTGAGGTCGGGAGCACTCTAAATCTTCCTCTGGATTGTCTTGGATGTCCAGGGGTGCCAAAGTTTCCCTCTGGTTCAGGGGTGGGCATGGGGGATAAGGCTGAGCTGCAGACTAACAGGCCCCAGGGTGGGCCCCTGCATCTTCCCTCCCACGCTGCTGCTTCAGAACTGTGGCGGGAGGGGGTGTCATCCTGCTCCGGAAGGCCCATTGTTTCCCACCCCGGCCTGGCAACACTGAGTTCCTTTAAGCTGGGGTCAGAGAACGGGCTCGGGTCCCCAAGGGGAGCAGGGCAAGCAGCCGAGGCCGGGCCTCCTCCACTCTATTGATGGGGGAAGGTTACTGGGGTCAGGGACAGAGCTCTGAGGTCTGGCCAGGAAGAACGGACTAGTGCGATAAGGCCAGGAGGGCGAAGGATGCTCCTGTCTGCGCATTTGTAGCCCTGGCACAGGTTTCCGGGTCCTGGACACGGGGCAGGGGTGGTAGCATTTATGCCACCTCTCTGTTCACAGAGCACATTCAGTTCATTAATTCTTTATTGGTGTGTGACCACTCCTTCCCCTCCAACCCCGTTCCCTAAGCCTTGTAAATACTACAGGAGCTGTACCAGCAATGGCCTAAGATTCAGTTGTCCTGGTCAGGATGGGGAGGGGAGGGGTGCGGGTTCCAGCCCAGATGTTCAGGATTTAGGTGTGGGTAGTGAGAAAAAGCAGGTTTTCTGAGGTGCGGCGATCTTCACCAGCATTGGGTCCACTGATGCTGCTGTTCCCCAAGGTCAGGGCCTTGGGGGCAGGGCAGGTCAGAAGATCCTGAGGCTTCAAGTCCTCGAGCCGAATGGGAGGGAGGGCAGCCGTCAGGGTTGTTCTTGACTAGGGTCCTCATACCCAGACCTTTCCTGACGTGGAAACGGCCTGGGACCCGGGTGAGGCCCGCGTTTGTCGTGGCTGCGGGGCGCGCCGGCGCCGATAGAGAGCTCGGCTGTAGGGCACAAGGCAATCGGCTAGGCGGAGGCGCAGACAGAGGCGGCGGTAGCTAGCCAGAGCAAGCACGAGCAGCGGCACGAGGAGCAGGAATCCGGTGACCAGAAGGGCCGTGAACCCCGGGTCCCGCAGATGCGCGGTGCAAGGGGGCGCCTGGGAGCGCAGGAACTGTGGGAGGAGAAGAGGCGTCAGGCCCGAGCCGACCTGGGCCGCATCGGGCACGAGGTGGAAACAGCCAGGCGGGGAGAAGTTGTGACCCACAGACCCCACCACCAGCACCACCACACAAACATCCATACTCACACGAATACCCACACGCACACCCCGGGGCGCACCTCACCTGAGAGTGGCAGAGGAAGCCGAAGCCCAGCATGGTGACAGCGGGTAGCAAGATGGTCCCCAACACCAGCGCCAGCAGGAGAAGATTGAAGGCAGCCACCAGCAGATTCTGGGCCGTCACCAGCACAGCGCAGGCCCAGCAGTCCAGTGGGTCCCGAGGCTCCGGACCGCCGCCGCCACCGCCGGGAACCGGGCGCTGCGCCCCCGGGACATCCGCCATGGCCTGCCTGGCTCCAGCCCGCCTGGGCTGCTGCCCTTATAGCCCTCTTTCCTGCCCCTCCCCCGGCCCGGCCTCTCCCCACCCCCCTTATCCTGGAATGCAACTCCAGGATTAGGCACCCCCCCATCCCGAGGAGCGGACCAGAGCCCTGGACATTCCACAGGCGCCTCCGGGGAGGGGTTCACGCTCGCCGGGGTCTGCGCAGTCCTCCCCATCAATCACGATCATGCGGCCCTCCTCCCGATACTCTCCCTGCTATCACCAGCACGTTACCAAAACAGGATTTTTTTTCTGCTTTTATTTTTCATATTAATATTCTCACACAAAAAGTCACCGAAAATAGGGGTGGGGTTGGGAAGACCCCTCTGCCCCTGGGGCAGAGAGACAGTGCAGTGCGAGGGGGCGGGACTGTAAACCCCCCACCCCTCCGCAGCCCCAGCGAGGAGAAAAAACAACCAACAAAACGAAAATAAAGCCCCAGAGAAACTCACCCCGGGGTGTCCCTGCCCCAGTTGAGGCCCTGGCCCTGGGCTGTTTCACGCTTAAAAAGAAAAGGTGGGGGTGAAGGTCCGTGTTTTTAAAATTGGCCGGGGCTGGGAAGGACGGGGTTCCTGTTCCTCATAGTTCTTTCTTTAAAACCTTTAAATTTTTTTATTTTATTTATTTATTTTTTTACAAAATACCATTTCAGTTCCCACTTCTTCCCCTACAGTACAGGAGTCGCTCACCCTCAGGCAGGGTTGGGGTCGGGTCGGGAGTGGGGGCACTGGTCCGAGAAAGTGCAGGATGTCGGGGAGGGGAGCGGGTTTGAGCACCATGAGACCCCGGCTGGAGCCGCGGGCGGACGGGTGGAGACGGTCGGGCCGGGCCCGGACACACACTGGGGCACAGGGAGAGCCCGGCGGCGGGCGGTCCCTGGAGGGGGGCGGGATGGCTTGGGGGTGCGGGAGGTCGGGTTTTTCCCAAAAATGAATAAATAGAGGTGAGTGGGACCGTTATAAATTAAAAACCAAAAACAAACAAAAAGGAACAAAAAATACAAATCATAACCGAGTGAATAAACAGAGACATGTACAGGGGTCACAGCTAGCATTGGAAGTGAAAAAGGAGGTTCCGGGGAGGGGTAAAGCCCATAGAAAGAATCTCATTAAAAACCTCGGCTGCCGTAACGTCTATGTACATACACTAGCCGCGTGCATCTGCGCCGGGCGGGCGGGCGGCTGGCAGGCGTGAGGGAACCCGTATGTGACCCCCGCCGCCGCCGGAGCCTGGTCCTTGTGTCTGTTGCTAGAAAGGCCAAAGTCGGTGAGGGGAGGCGCTGGTGGGCGAGGGGCTGCCAGCCCCCTCCCCCGTCTCCCATTTTTTTTCCTTTTTTTCCTCATATTTGTTAAAAAAAATTCTTAATAAATTAAGTGAGGGGAGCTGCCAATGGGGTGGAAGGGCTGGGCCCGACCCCCTTCCCAGCCAGAGGCGGGACCTAGGTCCAGCCCAGGCGTGTGCTGGTGGCCCCGCGGCACCC